AGGGAGGTCTGCAGAGAGTCCACCACCCGTAGGTGGTTGCGCTTGGCTTGTTCCATCTCCTCGTCCTTCTCTGCCAGCTTCCGCTCGATCTCTGCCTTGATCTGGTTGAACTCCAGCTGGGCCCGGAGGATCTTGCCCTCCTCGTGTTCCAGGGAGGCCTGGGAAGGGGTGGGGGAGGGGATGTGGGCAGACAGTCAAGGCACAGGGCAGGGTGGGAAGGGAGGTTGAGAAGATACAGGGTGTCAGCCAGGACTATGGCCCAGAGAAGAAGAGCTGAGAGGAGATGGGGAGGTGGGATCTGCACCCCGTGCCCACCACGGTGCTGTTGGGGAGAAAGTGCTGGACTCCCTGGGCTTCCTCTGTCAAGGAAAGGGTTTGGACCTCACAACTGCCAGACCATCCAGCACTAACATTGCATAAATTCCTGACCTGTCTAAAGTATTATAGAAAAGGGAGGAATATTTATAACCACAAATTCAAATTTTTAATTTTGTTTTCCAGGTCTCTCACCCTTTCCTGAGAAAAGTTAGAAGCCCAGAAAACTCAGGGCTATTCCTAGATGCTTAAAATTGAAGAGTAACATAAAGTGCTTAAATGTGTTCCCCCATTTAATCTTTATAATAATCAAGTGTAAAATTGTATGAGGTGTGTTATAGTTAATTTCATTCTACAGATGAGAGAACGCAGGCAGAGAGAGATTAAAGATCTTGCCCAATGACACAATGGAAGTCCTCAAGCTGTGTTCCAACTCAGGCCTGTGTGACTCTGGAGCCCATGCTCCTACCCATTGTCTAAGTGGTTATTATCATGGCCAGATTCTAACTTTTAAAACCTGGTAGGAAACAAAACCTTTGGCCTCTAATCAGACATTTTCCTTTGGAATGACCTCAGCTTTGGATGTAGTCCTGGGTAGTAGATAGTGGGTACATGACTTTGAACAAAGAATATGGAGCAAACAGATTTTATCTTGTGGTCAGGGTCACCCCCAGGTGAGGGAGAAGTGGGAGGGAGTGACAGACTGTGGATGGGGTGCAGGAACTCTCAGCCCTCACCTCTGCCTCCTCTAGGGCTGACTGCAACTCCAGCTTCTCGACCTCCAGCTGTTTGCGGACCTTCTCCAGCTCATGCACATTCTTTCCTCCTTCCCCCAGCTGCTCAGTAAGGTCTGAGATTTCCTCTGGGGAGAAGAGGGCCAGAAAGCTCAAAGCCTGTGTTCTCTCTGTCCCAGCATGGCCCTCCCACCCACCAGCCCATCTGTGGCCTCTTGAGCCCCCGCACACCCTGAAGGTTCTTGTTCTCCCGCTTGAAGGTCTCCAGGTGCTCCAGGGACTCCTCGTAGGCGTTCTTGAGCTTGAAGAGCTCAGTACTGAGGGAGCGTGCCTCCTTCTGCGAGGACTCCAGCTCTGACTGCGACTCCTCATACTTCTGCTTCCACTCAGCCAGGATCTGTCCGGGAACAAGGCACACTCTTCAGCCCCACAGCCTCAGCCCCCTGGCCCTACTGCTTCCCAGCACCTCAGCCCCTAGCCTCAGCCCCATGTCCAAGATCTGTCCCTGGCTCCCAGCCTGGACTCAGGCCTCCTCTCCCACCTCCAAGGAGGACAGCTCTGGCCTCGCCCTGAAGCCCTCATGCCCCCTTGCCCTGCGTGCTGGCTGTGGCCCCCACCCATGGCCCACCTTGTCGAAGTTCCTCTGCTTCTTGTCCAGGGCTGCAGCAGCTGCATTGGATCGCTCCACATCCACCATCAGGTCCTCAATCTCGTTCTGTAGCCGGTGCTTGGTCTTCTCCAGCGAGGAGCACTTGGCATTAACAGCCTCCACGGCCTCCTCAGCGTCCTGCAGCCGCTGGGCCAGCTTCTTCCTGCCCAGGTGAAGGTGGAGGGTGTGTGTGTGACTCCACTGGGCAACAGTGGAGCTTTGGGTGGACCTCCTCCCACCTCCTCCCTGTATCTCCTTAAGATACGATAAGTCCAGCCTAGAGGGAGCTGAGCCTGCTGGCGCCTGAAACAGAGTCCACCAGCATGGGCTGCCCGGGCATCCTCCCTACCTGCAGTGGCATCTGGGTGTCAGTGGCCCCTGCCCTTGCCCTCTACACAGGCTGATCGACGGTAGCTCCTCTGACCAACAAGCTTTTTGCTCGTCTTATACGTGAGCATCAGGTATAACCCGGGCCAAAAGCTCGCCCGTCACAGGAAGTGGGTCAGGGCCAGCCAGGTTCACAGAGCAAAGGATCCAGGCTTTCTTCCAAGCGCCTCTGTTGCCCTCTGAGTTCCTCCTGTCTCTCCAGCTCCTTCTCATGATCACTCTGCCTATCCCCACCCCAGGTCCTCTCGCTCCTTCCTGTCTGAGAGCCAGGTTAAAGGGGCATCTGGAGCTCACTTGGCCTCCTCGAGCTCCTCAGTCCGCTGGATGGCGTCCGTCTCATACTTGGTCCTCCACTGGGCCACCTCCGAGTTGGCCTTGGACAGGATGCGCTGCAGCTCGGCCTTGGCCTCCGTCTCCTCCTCGTACTGCTCCCGCAGCAGGTCGCAGTCATGCCGGGCCGACTGCAGTGCGTGGGCCAGGGCGTTCTTTGCCTGGGGAGGGGTGGGCACCAGGAGGTAGGAGGGACTCCCTGTGCCCCATTCTCCAGATCCTTCTCTTGTCTAGTACTTCAACCAAGCCTAGCCTTATTCAGCATGCGGGCTGATGTGGAAACTGTCCGAGGGGTTTCCCAGTTTGCCCACCCCATCCTCTTACAACTAAGGAAAGAGGCATTAGATGATGCTTAGCTGCAGGACAGAAGCTAGACTGGAGGCTCTTTCCCTTGCAGAGGACTCTCTCCAGCCCCAGGCTCCATTTTTGGTGTTGAGGTGAATGCCCCAGGGCTGCCGTCAAGCCCGCCTACCTTCCTGCCTGGGCCTCACCTTGCCCTCCTCCTCCAGCTGCCTTTTGAGGTCCTCCATTTGCTGGGTATAGGAGAGCTTCCCCCGGGTCAGCTGCGAGATTAGCGCCTCCTTTTCTTCTAGTTGCCGGGCCAACTCTCCTGGAGGCGAAATGAGGGGCTTGTGGGCCATTCCACAAGTCATGTCCTACTCTAGGCAGGCAGGGCTGATTAGGGGCACCCACCATTCTCTGTCTGCAGCTTGGCTCGCTGGGTGGTGAAGTCGTTGAGGGAGCGTTGGGCCTCTTCTAGCTTCATGCGGTACTCATTGGCCTGGTCCTCCAGCATCCGAGACACTTTCTCCAGGTTTGCCTTCAGGAAGCAAGGGACAGGAAGGGTGAGTGTGGGAGGGGCTGAGTCGACCAGAGGAAGGAAAAGAGGGTCAGAGATGGGGAATGCCAGAGGGCAGGAGGGGGACACAGAAGGTGTGGGAGGGCGCAGTCTGAAGAGGAATTTGAATTAAAGATGGGAGGAAGATGGAGATAAAGATGTAGAGGAGAGCCAGAGAGGAGGCAGGGGAGAGAGGAAGAGAGACCAAAGGGTGACAAAGGGAATGAAAATGACAAAGGAAATGGCAGACAGAGACAGGAGGTGTGGGGGAGGCTCCGCTGTGCAGGGGAGAGGGCAAGAAGAGGCTGAGCAGAGCCTGCCTTGGCCTTGATGATATGCTCCATGTTGGAGGTGACATCGTCCAGCTCCAGCTTGAACTCGCTCTTCTCCTTCTCCAGCTTCTGCTTCACCCGCTGCAGGTTGTCGATCTGCTCGCCCAGCTCGGCCACACTGTCGGCATGCTTCTTGCGCAGAGCCGCGGCAGTGGCCTCATGCTGCAGCGTGGCCTCTTCCAGGTCCCGCCGCATCTTCTGAAACTCGGCCTCACGCTTCTTGTTCATCTCGATCTGCACAGACGTGGCCCCGCCAGCCTCTTCCAGCCGCTCGCTGATCTCTTCCAGCTCCCGGGACAGGTCTGAGCGCAGCTTCTCCACCTTGGCCCTGGCGGTGCGCTCGGCCTCCAGCTCCTCTTCCAGCTCCTCGATGCGTGCCTGGGCCGGACACAAAGGGTTTAGACCCACCGTCTGGACCCCTCCGCTGGAATCCCTCTGGGCTCTAAAAGGCTACCAGGCACTCAGGTACCTCTCGAGTAGTGGTTCTTAACTAGGGGCAATTTTGTGCTCCAGGGAATTGTTGGCAATGTCTGATTGTCATGATTTGGTGGGGCTTGCTACTGGCATTTAGAGGGTAGAGGCTAGGGATGGTGCTAAACATTCTATAATGCATAGGTCATCAATAGGAATTTGGTTGAAGCCAAATCTTCAGGGCATTTCCTGAGGGCATCTCAGGCCCAGTCTGAGCATCTACAGCCCTGAATCGTGAGAATCTGTTTTGAGCGGCATCCTGGGATCCTGTTAGATCAAGAATTTCAGAGTCTCCAGATTTACTAGGCTGTGTTCCACTATCCATAAGACACGAAAGTGGATACTTGTATTTTACAAATATTTGCGACAATATGCCTCGAAGCAATCAAATACCTTTGCAACTCTCCAAGTTAACCACAGTCCCAATTAGCTGTATTCCTCACTCTCCAGGGCTTCCTGTGTTTATGCCCCGGGCTGAGTTTCAACATGATTGCTCTCTTTTCAGACCAGGAAAGTGGTCTGAAAAGTGCTCTCTTTCAGAGCAGGATGCTCTCCTGTTCACTTCATCTCCTCATCCTCTTCAAATGCTCCTGCCTCACTTTTCTGGTCTTAGCCTTGGTCTTGACTAAATTGTAAGAATATCCTATCTACCACTTTGGTCTGTTGTCTGGTTAGCTAGGAGCAAAGCGGGGTTCAGTGGGGATCCCTTCTCCTGGGGTTATGGACAGCTTTAATGGACTGTTCATGGATGGGTCCTTGGAGCAGCAGAGAGACCACCATGCCTCTGCTCCTAGGGTGGAGAAGGTGGTACTTCTGAACAAGATCTTGGGCATGGAGGAGGAGCCACAGCCTATTGCCAATACCTCATGAGATTTACGGGACTGTTATCCTGGGTCCAAGAGGCCAAAGAAGTTGCCCAGACCCCGGGTAGAAGAGCATGAGGATGGCCCAGTGGTCTATCTAAAATCCAGAAGGGGCATCCAAGAAGATAGGAAGTCAAATTATTACTGAAGGCAGGCCAGTCCCCGTGCAGCCCCAGAGGAGTGGAATTGTGTTCATATATTACTTGCAGCCTGGGCCATGGGCCTCAAGTGCAGAGGGGAGACTACCTCATTCTACCAACCACAGTCTGCCCCAAAATGAGAGGACAAGGTCTTGCCCCCGTAGCTGAGTTCCTGTTGCCCTTGGGGTCACTATATCCAGACCTGGCCATGTAGCTTCTGTAGCTATAAAATGGGGATGGCAGTCCCTGCCTTGTGGACTTCCAAGGGTCTTCTGCCAACCCCGATACTAAAAGCACATTGAAGTCTGAGTTTCATTAAAGCTAAGGGAGACTATAGCTGTTCACTCAATCCTAACTTGCAGAGGAATGAGAAGGCTATGGAGGAGACACAATACATTCTTAGGCTATTGGCTGGTTGACTCTCTAAACTGGGCTATATTAAAATGATGCTTATATAGTGTTTCCTAGTTGACAAAGTGGTTTCAAATACATTATCTCCTCTGGTCCTGTGTGATAGGTATTGTCAGTCTCATTTTATAGGAGAGATGAGAATCTGAGGATCAGGGAGGGTAAATGATTTGCTCAAGGTTGTAGGAATTGGCTCCTATCATGAGTGCCCTATGGCGACTCAGCCTGGGTTAGTGGCTGGGGTTAGTACCAGGAAGAATATGAACAGAACAGCTCACAGGAAGGTGCTCCTTGAAGGTTTTTTTACCCCCCACATTCAGAGGGCAGAACTACTAGAGCAAGGGTTAGAGGAGAATAGAGCCCTATCATTTGTCTTAGAGCAGAAACACTATGAGGCAGAGCAGATCTCAAAAGAAGCCCTTTAGTAGGTATGACTCCCCCTTCTCAAATAGTTTTGCTCACATACTGTATTCTTGCTCTATGGGGGAAGGCTCGTGTTCCTGAGGGACTGTAAGTCAGGGATGGTTGGGTCTGTGAGGCTGCCTGGAGTTCCAGATATTGTGTAGAACCCTAAGCAGCTGCTGTAGCTTCAGTCACCTCAGGGCTGTTGAGCTTCCACGTTCCTGCACTGAGAAGAATGTTACCTGGTTTTCCTTCAGTTTCTTTTGCAGCTGAAGGGCCAGTGCCTGCTCATCCTCAATCTTACTGTTCAGCTGATTAATGTCAAACTCCTTCCTGCAGGAGAAGGGTGGAGGTGGGGAAGGGAGAGGTGGCCTTCCTTCCTCTGGGGCTCATTCTCTTCTTGGCCTTCGCATGCCAGAATCAGCATGTCCCCATCCTCCCACCAGCCCAGAGAGTGGAGAAAGAGGGCTGTGATTGACTTCATTCCCAGTGTGCCCACGGCAACTGTGGGCAGTGGGGGTGCAGCACCCCGCACTCTATCCACCAGGCCAGACACCTCCATTAGCCCCTCCTGGCCACCACAGTCTCCTACTTTTTGAGCTTTTCGTCCAGCTGCTGCTTGTCATTCTCCAGGTCCATGATGCTCTCCTGGGTCAGCTTTAGGTCACCCTCCAGTTTCCGCTTAGCTCGCTCCAGGTCCATGCGCACCTTCTTCTCTTGCTCCAGGGATCCCTCCAGCTGAAAGAGAGAAGGAAAAAAGCAATGTGTGGAATACATGAAATCCATAGAGCGTGCTCTTTTGTCTCCTTCCAAACTTAAAGTCCAGTGGGATTGGAAGTCAAACCAGTAGAGAAATCCTGCAAGAACAAAGGTTTCAGAGACCTACCCTAGTGTAGAGCAAAAAAGCTCAAAGGGCCACAGAAGTTAATTTAGGGATCAGGACTTTCTGGGCCATTGGTGTTGCCTGCAAAATCTTGCTCTGAGAGAGGGAACAGGGTTCTTACTACTCACATCATCCACCTGCTGCTCCAGCTTGACCTTAGACTTGGACAGGCTGTTGACCTTGTCCTCCTCGGCCTGAAGGTCATCCAGGGCCTGCTGGTGGGCCTCTTGTAGAGCTTTCTTCTCCTTAGTTAGCTTGGCAATGATCTCATCCAGCCCAGCCATCTCCTCTGTTAGGTTCTTCACCTGCCGACCAAGAACCCATCTCCTTTAAAGTCAAAGATCACCAGCTTGGAGACATCTATGGGGAGCTCCCTGCCAAGGACCAGGACTACATTTTGGTCTGGGAGTCTTGAGGAGACCTGGGCTGGAGCCACAGGGAGCTGCCCTCACCTTGTTCTCTGTTGCGTGCTTCTCCTTCTCCACCTTGGCCAGTGTCAGCTCCAGGTCATCGATGTCTTTCTTGAGCTCTGAGCACTCGTCTTCCAGCTTGCGCTTCTTGGCAGTGAGCTCAGCGTTCATCTCCTCCTCGTCCTCCAGCCTCTCGTTCATCTCCTTCACTTTGGCTTCCAACTGAATCTTGTTTTTGATCAGCTGGTCACAGCGCTCCTCGGCATCATTGAGGTTGTCTTGTTCCTGGGAGAAGAGAACAGGGAGGAAGCTGATGGTTAGAGAGGAGATCTAGGGTCTTAAAAAGAGCTGGTACTCCTTGACTCCCAGCCCCTGGTTGTGAGATGGGCTATAATCTAGGGGAGGGGAGAGGAGGGCTGAAGAGATAATCACGTGGCCTCACTGCCTGCACTTGGAGCTGCAGATCGTTCTTCTCCTGCAGCAGGGACACCATCTTCTCCTCCAGCTCCTT